AAATACATTCATGGGACAATAGGAACGTTAGGGGAACGTTCTGTGTTTGCATAACTATAAATAGGCTATTTAGTACCCACCACACCGACAGACAACAACTGATAACTGAAACTGATAAATGAAATTAACTATAACCATCCGCAACTGAAGTGTTTTTTTTTTTATTGTTTTTTTTAATCTCGCTTTAAATCCTCGCGCTCTTTCAAGTCAGATTTATTTTGATTGGCTGTCTATCATCGTTCATAAACTGAAAAGAAATCGCTCTGACTGTGGTTGCAACAATGGACTGCTGTAAATCGGAATAAGTTGCCAAAAAAAAAAAAAAAAAAAAAAAGAAGAAGAGGTATTCAATTGGATTTATGCCCAGTTGCACTACTTCCTGAACTTCAGCCAGCTCCTTGTTTCCTGTCTGCCATTATTGGCCAAATTGATTAATTCAGGTGTGTCTGATTATTATTGCCATGACTACTGAGGTCAGGTACACCTGAATTAATCAATTTGGCCAATAATGGCAGACAGGAAACAAGGAGTTGGCTGAAGTTCAGGAAGTAGTGCAGCTGGGCATAAAGCCCATTAGCCTACATGATAACCAGCTCATGCTCCACTCGTCGTCACCACATGGTAACTCCCAAATTTCAATGGGAAATTAATCCATGCGCTCGAGATTACACTCTAAAAAATGCTGGGTTGTTTTAACCCAATTTTGGGTAAAATATGGACAAACCCAGCCATTGGGTAAAAAATGTCATTTAAAAATGTAACCCAATGGCTGGGTTTGTCCATATTTTACCCAAAATTGGGTTAAAATAACCCAGCATTTTTTAGAGTGTATGGTCGGGAGATTTTCCACACAGATTTCGTTTATTAAAGTTCACGCTGATTTCTATTGTTGGACCATTATTAGCCCGCGAAATTATAATGTGACGGCACGCTTTGAAAAAAAAAACAAAAAAACACGTTATTTATTGTTGTAGTTATCGTCGTTGATGTGAAGTTTATGTAGGTCATTTTAATTTGTACAATTTTACACAGGTGTTTCAAAATCATTTGAGATCATAAGCTTGTTGTGTGTTTTTCTTTCCTGACCCGCACAGCTGGTGAATCTCACTCAGATGAAGCTGTGAACTAGATGAATTTCCAGTGTTCAAATCCCCTGAGCCACAAACCCTCAGAGACTCGAGATGCTTATCGCGACTCACTCGTTCCCCCGGCGGGCGCGTCAGGAGCGTCGCTCTGCGGTGAGCGCGGCACGTCTGCAGGCGCAGCAGGTGAAGCGGTGGGCTTGTGGCGGGTAAAGACGAGCAGGAGCTCCAGGGGGAGATGGAGGGACTGGTGGGCTTCTTTGTGTGCATTGGTCTCTACGTTTTTCAACATTGTCTTCTTTGCATCTTTCTAGGAACTCGACAGAACGCGCTTTGTGAGCTTTCTTGAAAGTGGCTTTGGTAGGAAAGCGTCTGCAAGTGAAAACGAATGTAAAGTGAGGTGAAGGAACATCTTTACAATGTGTTATGAATGTTTTAATGTTCCCGTTCTCGTTCTCTGCATTATATTAGGCCTCTATGGTTTTAAACGCCATTTTGAAAGGTGCGAGTTTCAAGGCAACTTTTGGTATAATCAATAAGAATCATTATTTAACTAGTTAACATGGCATTTTCAGCATTAATTTCATATTAATTCCAATATAAAATGTTACTTTAGTTAAAGGGATACCCCACTTTTTTTGGAAATAAAAATGTATTTTCATTTTACCACTCCCCCAGAGTTAAACAGTTGGGTTTTACCGTTTTCGAATCCATTCAGCCACTGATATTCTTCTGATATTTAGAAGAATATCAGTAACCAGACTGTCTGGTTACTGATATTCTTCTAAATATCAGAAAATCGGCTGAATGGATTTGAAAACGGTAAAACCCAACTGTTTAACTCTGGGGGAGTGGTAAAATGAGCCTATTTCCAAAAAAAGTGGAGTATCCCTTTAAAGCTGCAGCCCGTAGTTTTTCCTCTTTGTCGCCATCTCTGTTCGAAATCTGCAATTGCAGTTGTTTGTGGAATTACCAACTTTACGTGGGTTTTGATTCGGCACGGCACAGCGCGGATGAACACAATGTTTGAGGAGAGTGTGTGTCGCTGCCATTCAGAATCACAGATTCTACTCTTTGAAAGTATGACCAGCATACGAATTTTCACCGGAAAATGTCATCTAAACAAGTAAGTAACATCCATTTTTGTTCTGACCAACTAAGGGGAAAGAAGCATAGCAGTAAATCGCGCTGATTAAATCTAACGATCAATTCAAACAATACAAATCATACTTTGTTCTCAAATTGTTAATGCTAACAACATTAGCATTGCGTGACTACATTTAATGTGTATAAAGGCTACAGTTCAGTTTCCATTTCTGTGCAGTCTAATTTGTAATTGACCCTTCGCTAAGCCTTCCCTGCCTAGTTACTGTTGCTACGCCTGTCAAGCTTTCGCTGCCGGCCCATCTATTATAGTGTGGATGCACCCGGTATCAGACATTCCCAATGAGATAATTAGTAATTTTCGGCGAACAAGTGAAATATCTGAGAGACCAAGACAAAAGGGACTACAGTATGCATTCGAGGGATATATTCACGACATTATACGCAACCGATTAGAGAATAATTTCTTAAAAATTGAAGTTAAAGCCTAGTCCCAGCGCAAGCAGCAGCGCCTCATACGCTGACCGTTCAAATGGGAAACACAAATTGAGGAACAGCTATGTTCATAAACAGCAGGGTATGTGAAAATAATCTTAATAATTATAAAAACAGCTTATCAATAAATCTTGTGGAATAACACTAATACCGGGAGAGCCGCGATCGGATTGGGTTAATTAAGGGGTAACGTTAGTAGGACGTCGATTAACAAAATGCTGAAATATATTTTAAAGTATGTCAGTGAGCCTTTGTCTTGTCTTTTTAATCGTCTTATTTTACGTTATCATTATGACCAAAGAACCGTCAATATTTCCAAGCAATAGGTGTTTTTGTTAAGCATGTCGACATTTACCACAATGGGTCTCGCACATAGACGCTAGATCACGTCAATCATTTCTCAGCTTGGCTTTTAGATTTTCTGGAAGGAAAACAATTCCTCTCTCCCGTCCAAACTTTTAGTATACCGGTATCAGATTTGCACAATCCATACGCACAATGCTTCAGCATGTTCCCTCGTTCGAAAGCTTGCCAGACCCACCGCGCATAGTTACGGTTGCTAAGACATGATTGGCCAGTGGCGGTTTTCGGGCGTGGCTTAGCGAAGGGTCAATTGTCATACCAACAAATCAAATGAATGTTTTTATGTATTTATTTACCAGGACAATGCATATTAACAACAGTACACCTGCAACATGCATTAGCCAAGGGCTAGTTTTCATCAGTAGTCCTGTTGGCCAGTTGTACGGTGGAACCCTATAGGGAAAGCATAAAACCTTGGACAGTGGACAACTATAAACGTACAACTGTAGTAGTGCAGCTGTGTCTGTTCGCTGCAGCAGACGAACAATATGAACATGTTGAAACTCAGTAGAATTAGTTCTGAAAAACACACACAGCAAAGATTTTGGTAAAGGCGTAAAAACAGCAATCTAAGTATAGCATGTACTGTCAGTAAATAGGCTGTATGTGTTGATGTCTCTGATTGTTACTGGAGTGGTTTTCTATTCCTGAGAAGCACTAACAGAGAAGGCGGACTGACTAATTGCACTTTTTGAAATGATACTTAGAAAAACCAAAGTGTGGTCATGAGATTGAAAAAATCACAAAGGGGTGGTGGGGCCATCCCATGTAAGATTTTGTAAACCTGACATGAATTTGTGAACTTAATTTGATTTTCCCAGCTTAGAATATTGTATTTTAATAAAATTGCGCCGTGATGAAAAAAAAAAATGCATTGGTTTCTTATGGAGTACTTTAAGTGTCTGTTTGTGTAAAAACTGTATTGTAGTGTAAAACAGTTGGTAAAATGAGAGACGATTATTGAGTGCATGACCGTTTTGACATTGAGTTTCTAACAAAGCGGAAATTAGCTGTATAGCCTATTAAATTAGATTTTTTTAACAGGTTTGCATTACATGTGATCTAAAATTGAGTTTAGAGTCCAGATGAATGCCGAGGTATATGTATTCTTGGACATTTTGTATTTTTTCTCCTGACACTAGAATATCTGCATCTTTAGTCATTTCGTGAAAAAACATACCTAGTTTTAGACACATTGAGTTGTAGACAGCATTGATTCAATGTTGTAACTTCGACCATCACGTTTGTGAGTTTGTCAATACGAACAGTCTGTAATCGATGAGAAAGATATGAGTTTATCCATTTTAATGCATTGTCTGAGAGATTAAAAGAGGGTAATTTTGCTAAAAAATATATATAAAAAATGTGAAAACAAGAATAAAAGAGAAATATATAAATAAGATTGCACAGTGCATGATAAAGATAATTATTAAAACTCTGGGTTGTTTCAACTCATGTTCAAATATGGACAAACTGAACAGTTTATTAAACTAAAATTTTAAACCCAACAGTTAGGTTTGTCCATACTTGACCCAAAAAACCCAGTCTAACAAAAAATCTGATGGTTTCATCACTGTAAAAAAGATCATATGATCAATAAGTTATGACAGATGTTTTTACATTGCTTGAACTCATCAATTTCAACTTTTTCATAAGTTGTGCAAGATTCATCTAATTTTTTTAAGTCAGTTTAATTCAATTTAAGTTGAAATTACTTAAATCCAAGTTGACTGAACTTTACAAATGAATAATTGTTTACAGCGATGCTGTTCTTCAATTTTCTTCCTGTTTGTCCTTGTTCTGCTGAAGAAGTTCTTCTTAAATCTGCAAAGTAGTAAAACTACAATGGCTTTGTCCCTCGGCATGCTGGGTAATGTCCCTCAGCTGTACACACTGAAATCACAAACCAAATCACACAGTGGGTCGTTGTGGGCGCAGCGTTTCACGTCTCTGTGGTCTCATGAACGTTTCTTTAACCTGCGTCTCTCGCAGCTGCTAAATATTCAGTGTCATCTGATCGGTCATATAAGTGCAGAGAGCAGTTGAAGTCAAATGATCTCCCAGAAGAACACTGTTCACAGAGGTTAGTCTTTTCATCTCAATGGTGTTTTAGTATCAGATGTTTGTTTTTCCTCAAAATGACCAAATAGGCTACACTTTAAAACATGCTGGGTTGTTTTAACCCATTTTGGGTCAAATACAAACCCAAATGCATGGTTAAAAATGTAAATTATAAATGTAACCCAACGGCTGTGTTTGTCCATATTTGAACCAAATTTGGGTTGAAACAACTTAAGAGCTGTAAAAACGTGTCAGGTTTGCACTCATATTAACTGCAACAAGTGCTTTTTGTATCTTGTTTGCATGTTTTAACATCCTAATGCATTTACGGTAGGTGTAAAATGACAAGATAAGAAGTTGTTTTCTGAGAAATTGATCAACATGACATGAGTTTATGCTCAAAACCAGAACAAATATCTGCTAGTGGGGTCAGAAAAAGACACTTAATTTAAAGGGATAACAAGTCTGGAATCCGATTTGATTGCACATTTTAAGCATTCAATTTCTTTTCTTAAAAATGATCATGTGGCATCTCTTGCAAATGTACACTCTGGAAAATAAAGGTTCTTTATTGGCATTAAAGTTTCCATTAAAAATCTTTATGGAATCTTTCCATTCCACAAAAGGTTCTTTACAGTGGAACAAAATTTTAAATGTTCTTCACAATAAGAAAAAAAGGTTCTTCAATGCCATCGCTGTGAAAACCACCTTTTCGAACCTTTATTTTTAAGAGTGCATCTTTCAACAAGACAACAAAACTGAGAAAGAACATCACTTGAAAAGTCAATTTGAGCTTCTCTTCACACTCATTTTTACAGCTGTAGACTCTTAGTTCCTTGTTTGCGTCGGGTTTGATTTTCCTGAGGAATTGTTGGAGAAACTTCTGATACTTTGAAATGTAACGGAGAACATCTCCAACTACATCATGAGACTCACTCAATTATGATGCCGTATGAATTTGACTTGGATTGGCACATTCTGCTCTTTTATCCTGGATGGCCGTTATGCAGAACGAGCAGATTTGCCAGGCGTCCTGATTTGAAGTCTTGTGAGGACACATCAGAAAACATTCACACTTCCTGTGAGACCGTTCTTCCCGCCCGAGTTTGGAGAAGCTTCACAACTGAATCACAACTCAATCAAACAGACGCGTCTTCATCATCGGCCGGACCTCCGCCGGTGAGTCTGACGCCGACACACAGCTAAATACTCACAGAAAGACCAAAATAAATCTAACATGGTTGCACATAAATTCTTTTGATTTCTTTTGAAATCTCTCTAAAATCAAGAAGAGATTTGTAGTTATGCCAAAGGTGTGCATTAGTGCATCAAAAACAACTTTTAGTTGGTGCTCTCAATCGATTAAAAAAGGAACTAGATTAATCACGTTTTTTCTGTAATTAATCGCAATTAAAACACGTTTATACGTTTTTAATATATTTTATAATGTTATAATGCAGTTAATCTCCAAATGAATGTGGAAACAACATAAAAACAGTATATTTGTCTAATATACTCTTGTCATTCTCGTTGTTTGCGGTCATGCGAAGGTGTCTCATGCATGTGAGTGTTATTGCGCGGCTCGTCAAGCTTTAATTTGTGGCTCGAGTCGCATGGCGGTGAGTAATACGGTGATGTGATGATCATGCAGTCACTATAGATATCTCATTAAAAACATTTAAAACAAGTAGGACTATAACATTACCCATTAAAAGCTCAAAGTGTAAAATCATTTCGATCGGATTGAAAGGGTTTATCGAGAGATCATGTAAACACTTGATCGATTAAAAACCGAAACTGAAAGTTTCTCCTAGCTGTTCTCCTGATGAAGAAAGTGTAGTATAAATGGGTGTCCCCCGTCACTCCATATAGGCTAATTCTCCTTTCCCTGTGTGGAGCAGGACAACAACAGTCCGGTTTCAGACTCGCATCCACAGACGACTGGTTTAGGCATTTTTACTGCGTGATGAATAGGCTATCACACAGCGCAACGGTTCATGTTCATACTCTCCAAATTATGACAAGAATCGGATAAAGATTAAATCTGCTGTTTAAAAGCAAATAGCCTAAAGAAACAATGTAGGAGAATGGTTTTAACAGCGGGAAACTCCGTGTGTCAAAAAAAATAATAATTCCGATTTGAATCTTTTGACTTATAAACGCGAACATCAACCCGAACATTAGGCAATCACACATCACGATGCTTGGCGCGTTCACGTAAAATACATTCAGATTCATCAATCGGAATTAATTCAGTCCGATTGAAACAAAAGTTGTGCATATCAACATTTGCTCTCTCTACGAATGTGCTCTTGGATGGTTAGATGATGGGCTAATTTAGAAAAAAAAAAAAGTAACTTAAGGTAGGCTACTAATTCTGGGATGAATATATTCTGGAAGTCCTGCTTTTTTGTCATTAAGGGAAATCAGCTTAGTCAGGTTTACAAAATCTAAGTAATCTGCTTAGTTTATGCGAATAAATACTAAGGCACCAATTCAGACCAAACTTGTAAAAGTGTAGTGAGTTTTATTAATGGGATGAAAGTTTAATACATTTATGGAGGGTTTTCAATAAGTCATAAAGCGAATGATATTGAGCTGCAGGTGAGCGAGCCGGCACAGGTGTTTCACATCTCTAAACCTCAGATTCTGTGGTCTTCAACTGAACTCACTCTTCAACAGCTGCAGCAGCAACCACACACACACACTCACACCGAACACTCAATCAGGTTCACTAGATTATACCTGTTACAGCAACATAGCTTCACACACAAGCCATATGTCGATTTCATCTTCTCACATGGATTTATTGGTTCACGTTTATTATGATTTGGAGAATTTACCAAATTGATATGATGATACTAATTGTTATATGAATAAATGTAGCCTATATATTACAAATTCTGACAGTTTCTAAATAATCATACTTGATGTATTATTTAAAATATAGTATTTACTTTTATTTATTGGATAATTTATCTATGATTTGGACCATAACTCTATGATACTGAATGTATAGATTATGTTCATTTGGATAATTTCTGTTCATATTTATCTTTACAAATTTTTGTCTCCATTATATATTATCATTTTTAGATCCATATATTATATCAATTTTATGATGGATGACTAAGCGACATAACAATTCGAATTATTCTATTAAATTAAAAAAATATATATTTTGTTTATTATGATACCTTCTATAATGATCATTTATATTCTGTATGTATGTATTATATTATACTATATTTTTTATATTGGTTCATTTATCTTTTGATGTGGAGAATTAATCAAAATAACAGTATACTGCTTTAAATAAATACATCATATTTTGAATAAATATATATGTTATAATATGTTTAATATTATTTTTCCAATGTTCATTTTAAAGTATTTACCTTCCTTTACTTTATGACAATAAAAAAACACTGATGCTATATTATATATGATATTATATATATATATATATATATATAGACTATTATATTCACCTTTATTTATATACTTTTTACTATACAGATTGTTTTAAAGCAGCTTTACAGTAATAACAGAAATAATGCAATGAAGTCTGTTTCAGTATAATCTTATATTGAACTAATTAACTTATTAATAATGTATTCATATAATAAAACATTTAGGATTTGTTGTGCTTTCATTTCAGATTGTAATCTGACCTCGTCCATAGTGGATTCATTCCCACTGATGAAATGCCTCGATCATTTTTAGTGAGAAGCAAGAGGGCGGGGCATCACTCCACAAGATTCGCCCACTCTCAGCATCCTGACCAATCACAAGCTCTGGAGCGGCTGCCCGGCTCCTCCTCACCTGACAGCAGCCGGCCGACCGTGTGCTGGACCGATAACAGCACTGATGGAGCAGGAGCCGAACACACACCAGGTACACACACACACACACACACACCAGATACACAGCAGTGACTGCAATGGGCAACTAAATGAAACACTTGCATTGTGGGAGTTTCTCATCACACCTAAAGACACTCATAATGAAAATAGAATCTGAATTATAGCCGTTAATCATGAGAACGCAAACATTATCATGAAACAAATCTCCCATAAATGACTCCCATGAAGAGATACAATCATGACTCAACTTGGATGAGTCATTACGATCTTGTTTCCTTTTGCCGAATTAAATACATCATCACTAACAGTTCTTTTCTATTGTGATAAATTACACCATGTCTCAGTGTGACGACTTGATGTGCTGTTCATCTTTAAGAATACATTTCCCATAATGCTTTGCAGAGAGAATTAATAGGGAAGACGACTGAGTGAGTGATTCAATGAACGCTGCGCGCGAGTTTGGGAAACAGTGCTGACGGGAGAAACCAAGCTTTTGGAAACTCTGGATTAATTAAACTGTTGTTTCCAAGCCATAGATATCCACAATAAAGGCTAGATATCTCACCCGCGCTGCTGGCCAATGAAGGTCGACGTCTGCACCTGGCGGCCATCTTGTCACAGGCAGTTCGCTCACTAGTAACATTGTGTTTTAATGGTGCATTTAACTTGCTCAGTTTTCTACCGATTTTCAAACGGTTTGCTTTTTTATAAAACGTCAAAGATGTAGTTATGACACTGCATACTTATGAATAATAAGTGTATAAATAAATAATCATCCACGTTAATAACGTTTGTAAGAAACCAAACCGTTTGTAAATCCGTGAAGATTTCAACGAGATAAGAGTATTTGTGTTCGTGCTGATCCCTCATCTTACATCAGCTTGCCTGTGACAAGATGGCCGCCGGTGAGGACGATAGAAACTCCGCCGTAAGATTCCAAGTGCTCTAAACACCGCAGGCTGGCGCCCCCTGCTGGTCAATATAGTGTAAATGCAACAAACACATGTATAATCTCACCTCTTACGAACCAACTGCACATTTTCATGAAAGTGTAATCTAGTAAATGTCAGAAATATGATGGTTCTGTATCATTATTTGTATTATTTTGTAGTGCTTGTTTCGTCTGTTATAAGATGGGGCTTGGCAAACTAGGTTAAATCAAGGTTCGGACCAAATGATGTAACGAACCTTTGTTTGCTGAAGTCACGTGACTTGGCGAATTTGAAGCAAGCTGTGACTGATTGAAAGGAGATTTCTAAATGTTTAGAGGCTTCAAGAAGCGGTGTTTTGAAAGCTGGCTAGTAACATTTTTTTATCTGAATTCATGATTGCATACTGAGAGGAAAACACAACATCTTCTGTTCTGTGGTGTGTGTGATGGCAGTGAAGCAGCCCAGTGTTTATCCGCCGGACCTGTTGTTGTCTTCTGCTGCTGTGGAGAGGCCGAGCGATCTTGAGCGTCTGATTCAGGCTTTACTCAGTCACCATCAGGCGACCAACGTCCAGACGCCGCTGTGCGAGTGTCAGCTCTGTGCGAAGGTGAGGAACTCAGTCCTGGTCCTGCGTGTGTGTGTGTGTGTGTCCTTTATTATAACACACCTGAGCTCGTCAGCAGAGAACTAATCTATTCAGGGTATGTTTACATGATATGCTTTTCTCCTTTAAGTTTTCCGACAACTTTATCACACGGATCCGCGAAAACGACTTAAATCACTGTATTCTGCCAGGCCAGTAGATGGCGATGAAACACTATAGGGTGAACATGAAATACACACGTGCATGACGTCATTGTCTTCAGAGATTCACATTTTGAAATGCACTTTGAAACCCGTTTTCAAAACTTTGCGTTGCCAGGCCAGTAGATGGCGATGTCCCTTTATAAAGAAACACTACGCCACTATAGACTGAGCATGTAATACGCACAACGTCATCGCTTTCACAAATTCTCGTTTTTCAAACCTAAAAAAAACCCAAAAGAACGTGTACATTATTTTTGAAACTGACATCATTATCATCTCTGTGTAAACTAAATAAAGTGTGAGTTTGTGAAAAACGTTGATGTCATACACATATGTAGGTGTTCAGTCTGTAGGTGCGTATTAATCTGCCACTTCTTTTAGCTAAATTTAGTATTCATATATGTACATTTGCAGTGGTGGAGGACGTACTGAATCTCAGTATTTAAGTAAAAATACAAATAACCAGATAAATATTTACTTTAGTAAAAGTAGAAGTAACACAATGACAACCATACTTAAGTAAAAAGTAAAAAGTACCTGATTTTAAAATGTACTTTAAGTATTAAAAGTAAAAGTACTTGCATAATTTATTTTCTTAATGTCTATTTTCTAATGATTAATAAAACATTTAATTCTAACTCATTCAACCTAATACTCCTATAATGATGTTCAATAATGATGGAAAAAAAAATGTTGTCACCATTTCTGAAACAAGCTTGCAATTAGGCAATATACACATCATGCTTATCCTTACTATATGTTAATAACTATGGCAGTAAACGCGATTCATTTATGGTGTAATTCTGAACCTCTTGGCTTGCCATAATCCTAACCAAAAGTATATTACACACGGTGCGTTTCCTATGCATGTAAAAACAAATTTTCGCGTATAAATTGAAAAAAAAAAAAAAAAAAACGAAAGGGGTACAACTGTTGTTTTTTTTTCGGGTCGAATTTTTGAGTTTCGATATCTCAGCTCTGGAAGGGTCTAGAGCCTCCATTTTTGCACTCAGGTCTAAGTCTCATGGCCCTCTATCAGAATCCAGAGTTTTGAGAAGATTGGAGAAACTTAATTTTTCGCCCGAAAAAAAAAACGTAAGGGGTACCACTGTCGTTTTTTTTTTCGGGTCGAATTTTTGAGTTTCGATATCTCAGCTCTGGAAGGGTCTAGAGCCTCCATTTTTGCACTCAGGTCTAAGTCTCATGGCCCTCTATCAGAATCCAGAGTTTTGAGAAGATTGGAGAAACTTAATTTTTCGCCCAAAAAAAAAAAAACGAAAGGGGTACCACTGTCGTTTTTTTTTCGGGTCGAATTTTTGAGTTTCGATATCTCAGCTCTGGAAGGGTCTAGAGCCTCCATTTTTGCACTCAGGTCTAAGTCTCATGGCCCTCTATCAGAATCCAGAGTTTTGAGAAGATTGGAGAAACTTAATTTTTCGCCCGAAAAAAAAAAACGAAAGGGGTAACACTGTCGTTTTTTTTTCGGGTCGAATTTTTGAGTTTCGATATCTCAGCTCTGGAAGGGTCTAGAGCCTCCATTTTTGCACTCAGGTCTAAGTCTCATGGCCCTCTATCAGAATCCAGAGTTTTGAGAAGATTGGGGAAACTTAATTTTTCGCCCCCCCAAAAAAAAACGAAAGGGGAAACACTGTCGTTTTTTTTTCGGGTCGAATTTTTGAGTTTCGATATCTCAGCTCTGGAAGGGTCTAGAGCCTCCATTTTTGCACTCAGGTGTAAGTCTCATGTCCCTCTATCAGAATCCAGAGTTTTGAGAAGATTGGAGAAACTTAATTTTTCGCCTGAAAAAAAAAAAGAAAGGGGTACCACTGTCGTTTTTTTTTCGGGTCGAATTTTTGAGTTTCGATATCTCAGCTCTGGAAGGGTCTAGAGCCTCCATTTTTGCACTCAGGTCTAAGTCTCATGGCCCTCTATCAGAATCCAGAGTTTTGAGAAGATTGGAGAAACTTAATTTTTCGCCCGAAAAAAAAAACGTAAGGGGTACCACTGTCGTTTTTTTTTCGGGTCGAATTTTTGAGTTTCGATATCTCAGCTCTGGAAGGGTCTAGAGCCTCCATTTTTGCACTCAGGTCTAAGTCTCATGGCCCTCTATCAGAATCCAGAGTTTTGAGAAGATTGGAGAAACTTAATTTTTCGCCCCCAAAAAAAAAAACGTAAGGGGTACCACTGTCGTTTTTTTTTTCGGGTCGAATTTTTGAGTTTCGATATCTCAGCTCTGGAAGGGTCTAGAGCCTCCATTTTTGCACTCAGGTCTAAGTCTCATGGCCCTCTATCAGAATCCAGAGTTTTGAGAAGATTGGAGAAACTTAATTTTTCGCCCGAAAAAAAAAACGAAAGGGGTACCACTGTCGTTTTTTTTTCGGGTCGAATTTTTGAGTTTCGATATCTCAGCTCTGGAAGGGTCTAGAGCCTCCATTTTTGCACTCAGGTCTAAGTCTCATGGCCCTCTATCAGAATCCAGAGTTTTGAGAAGATTGGGGAAACTTAATTTTTCGCCCCCCCAAAAAAAAACGTAAGGGGTAACACTGTCGTTTTTTTTTTCGGGTCGAATTTTTGAGTTTCGATATCTCAGCTCTGGAAGGGTCTAGAGCCTCCATTTTTGCACTCAGGTCTAAGTCTCATGGCCCTCTATCAGAATCCAGAGTTTTGAGAAGATTGGAGAAACTTAATTTTTCGCCCGAAAAAAAAAAACGAAGGGGTACCACTGTCGTTTTTTTTTTCGGGTCGAATTTTTGAGTTTCGATATCTCAGCTCTGGAAGGGTCTAGAGCCTCCATTTTTGCACTCAGGTCTAAGTCTCATGGCCCTCTATCAGAATCCAGAGTTTTGAGAAGATTGGAGAAACTTAATTTTTCGCCCGAAAAAAAAAAAAACGAAAGGGGTACCACTGTCGTTTTTTTTTTCGGGTCGAATTTTTGAGTTTCGATATCTCAGCTCTGGAAGGGTCTAGAGCCTCCATTTTTGCACTCAGGTCTAAGTCTCATGGCCCTCTATCAGAATCCAGAGTTTTGAGAAGATTGGAGAAACTTAATTTTTCGCCCCAAAAAAAAAACGTAAGGGGTACCACTGTCGTTTTTTTTTTCGGGTCGAATTTTTGAGTTTCGATATCTCAGCTCTGGAAGGGTCTAGAGCCTCCATTTTTGCACTCAGGTCTAAGTCTCATGGCCCTCTATCAGAATCCAGAGTTTTGAGAAGATTGGAGAAACTTAATTTTTCGCCCCCAAAAAAAAAACGTAAGGGGTACCACTGTCGTTTTTTTTTCGGGTCGAATTTTTGAGTTTCGATATCTCAGCTCTGGAAGGGTCTAGAGCCTCCATTTTTGCACTCAGGTCTAAGTCTCATGGCCCTCTATCAGAATCCAGAGTTTTGAGAAGATTGGAGAAACTTAATTTTTCGCCCGAAAAAAAAAACGAAAGGGGTACCACTGTCGTTTTTTTTTCGGGTCGAATTTTTGAGTTTCGATATCTCAGCTCTGGAAGGGTCTAGAGCCTCCATTTTTGCACTCAGGTCTAAGTCTCATGGCCCTCTATCAGAATCCAGAGTTTTGAGAAGATTGGAGAAACTTAATTTTTCGCCCGAAAAAAAAAACGAAAGGGGTACCACTGTCGTTTTTTTTTTCGGGTCGAATTTTTGAGTTTCGATATCTCAGCTCTGGAAGGGTCTAGAGCCTCCATTTTTGCACTCAGGTCAAGGTCTCGTGGCCCTCTATCAGAATCCAGAGTTTTGAGAAGATTGGAGAAACTTAATTTTTTTTCCCGAAAAAAAAAAACGTAAGGGGTACCACTGTCGTTTTTTTTTTCGGGCCGAATTTTTGAGTTTCGATATCTCAGCTCTGGAAGGTCCTAGAGCCTCCATTTTTGCACTCAGGTCTAAGTCTCGTGGCCCTCTATCAGAATCCAGAGTTTTGAGAAGATTGGAGAAACTTAATTTTTCGCCCAAAAAAAAAACGTAAGGGGTACCACTGTCGTTTTTTTTTCGGGCCGAATTTTTGAGTTTCGATATCTCAGCTCTGGAAGGGTCTAGAGCCTCCATTTTTGCACTCAGGTCTAAGTCTCATGGCCCTCTATCAGAATCCAGAGTTTTGAGAAGATTGGAGAAACTTAATTTTTCGCCCGAAAAAAAAAACGAAGGGGTACCACTGTCGTTTTTTTTTCGGGTCGAATTTTTGAGTTTCGATATCTCAGCTCTGGAAGGGTCTAGAGCCTCCATTTTTGCACTCAGGTCTAAGTCTCATGGCCCTCTATCAGAATCCAGAGTTTTGAGAAGATTGGAGAAACTTAATTTTTCCCCCCAAAAAAAAAACGTAAGGGGTAACACTGTCGTTTTTTTTTTCGGGTCGAATTTTTGAGTTTCGATATCTCAGCTCTGGAAGGGTCTAGAGCCTCCATTTTTGCACTCAGGTCTAAGTCTCATGGCCCTCTATCAGAATCCAGAGTTTTGAGAAGATTGGGAAACTTAATTTTTCGCCCCCAAAAAAAAAAACGTAAGGGGTAACACTGTCGTTTTTTTTTCGGGTCGAATTTTTGAGTTTCGATATCTCAGCTCTGGAAGGGTCTAGAGCCTCCATTTTTGCACTCAGGTCTAAGTCTCATGGCCCTCTATCAGAATCCAGAGTTTTGAGAAGATTGGAGAAACTTAATTTTTCGCCCCAAAAAAAAAACGTAAGGGGTACCACTGTCGTTTTTTTTTTCAGGTCGAATTTTTGAGTTTCGATATCTCAGCTCTGGAAGGGTCTAGAGCCTCCATTTTTGCACTCAGGTCTAAGTCTCATGGCCCTCTATCA